AAAAAACGTTGGCACAAGTGTATAATATCTGATGGGGATTACTTTGAAGGGGACAAAATAGATATTCATGAATAAATAAATAATTTTTGAAAAAACACAAAATTCGCGATACTTTTTGAACAGACCTCGTACATGTCATTTTGCGTATAATTCTTTATTTTGTATGATAATATCGCATACAAAAGAAAGGAGAAAAAATTTTTAGCTGTTTTATTTACTCTACAATTTTTTGGAATTTTGATATACGTAACATAAATCACATAAATCACATGTCATTATCTCTTTTAATTACTGAAGATTTAATGTATTGTATTATTTTATAAAATGTGAAATATATCTTAGAGATATTTTTTGTGTTTATAAATTATCCATATTTTTCACTATTTTTTGTAAAATGCAAAATTCCAAATTGCCTTTTTTGTACAATCTGATTCCAATTTAATTTATGAATTGTTAAAGAAGTAAAAAATTAACTTAATGAAAAAATCGCTTGCTGGTGTATCAGATAATATAGCCGCATTATTGTAATATAATCATTAATGTTGTTATTAATTATAACAAATAATTTAATTATTATTAGATATATTTTCTAAATAATGTCGATTTTTTAGTAATAAATATCAAGTAATTAAGATACTTTGTATTATTCATAACTTATGTTTTGTTAAATTTTTGAAAAATATTTATATGATAATAAAACGGCTAATTTTTGTCGTATTTATCGAAAGATGGATTAATAATTAATACCAAAGATTTTATGTAAACGAATTTACATAATTTGCATTAATTCTTTCAAATACATCTTTTTGTCATTAAATTGCGTTGCGAACCTAGTCCTATATGCAGTATAAATAAATATGTGTTACAAAATGTATTTCATTAAATCATATATCGCTATTTCTGAAATATTGAATCGCTAAGAAATTGAGTCGAAAAGTACTAAGCCTTCTTTTTATAACGCTTTGAAACAATTATTACCGAGTTAAAAATCTAATTCAATCGGCGCCGTCCTTTAGATGAGTGTACGTCATGAGTTGTGCGCCTGGCAGTGTGCGTGAGTGCTTCGCTGCTCCGTTACGTCGCTATGTCTTCGCTGCTAGCATATGTACAATATTCACGTGTCGTTTATAATGCGAAAAATATTTTTACATTAAAAAACATTTTCCTTCCGAAACATTTCTTTCCGAGAAAATTTTGCTAAGAGAACTTTCAAATAATAGGTTACATAAAAAACGAATTAGTTTTGTTTACAAATTGAAATAAAATTTTTTCTTTATAAATTTAAAACTCATGCGTTTTCTTCACTGACTTCTATATATATTATTAGAAATACTATACTGCTACCTCGTTCGAAAAACCCCCAATTTTAATATTGCATTATATGCATACGTCGAGAATTGTTCCGCATGATCGCGTGACGTACATACGTACACATCAACATACATACATATTTTGACAGGCTAATTTAACAGTATTAAAACTATATTTTATTGTACTGATCAAGAGGACTAAAAAAGTTGACGAAACTGTTGCGAAATAAATTTTGTATTTTCGCGCTTTTTCTTCTCATAGTATTATCAAACCTTAATCTATATTACTCTAATTTTATTGTATTACTAACGGCCTCTACACTTTGTAACATTCTAACCCTTCAGTTGGCAATACTGATGCTATGACTCTCTTATTTTTTTTGCTGGCTACCACTTTATCCCACACAGCAAAAATTGATCCTAAATACATCCTACAGATGTTTATATAGAGGGATTTTCAAACATCCAGAGTATGCACTTGAAAAAACTTAGGAGGTATTTAGGATATACTGAAGATGTTTGTATGTCCGCTTATTCTACATCCATAGGACATAATCGTTTAGATATCATTAGGATGTTTCTGGATGACCAAATTTCATTCTGTCTTTATCCAGTAGACATTCTAAAATGTCTTTTAGAATGTTAAAACTTTGTAGAAAAATATTACTGAGCACTACTGCGCAGTACTTTTTTACAAGAGTATACTCGCGTATCCCGGTACGATAATGCAGGAAATAAGTATGCGTCACAGAAACTAACTATGAATAACTCTATTTAAAAAAGCACTTTCAGAGGCTCCATGACAGTATATGAGCACACTCTGCTCTGGCGGAAAAATTTCTATGCCAAAGTACGTCAAAAAGTACGCCTTTCTAATTCTACGACTGTGGCGTTGTTAAATATAGAAATAACTACCAAGCGCTGCGCGAAAGATGTACATAAAATGGCGTATTTAGACCTAGTTAGGCACAGAAAGTACGCCAAAGTGCGCGCAACTAATGATTATTACATCCTTCTATGCAGAACTGCTCTAAACTGGTTTGCATTTTTCGTAAGTATTTGGAGAAAATATGCCATTCTACGTCTTTCTACGTAGAATCACGCTCTACAATCGAATAGTTCGGCACAGAAATAACTATGCCTATGTTCCAAGCTACGCGATTGCACGAAAAAATCGTTTCCTGAGGTACGTATTTCTATACTAAACTATACCAAAGTACAATACTTACCTTTTAATTTTTCCGTTTGTAACAAAGTAAGCCATTCTACGCAGAATTACTTATATTCATTCGTAAGCATTAAGCATCTCCGCCGATAGAGGGCCACGGCGGAGATGCATGTATTCGTAAATAAGAATCACTTGAGAAAGTATATAAGGAGCGCAGTATTTCGTATGTGAAGTGAGCTCTCAAAATTAGGCTTTAACATTAAGTACCCATGCTACGATAGAATTCTAATTCCATCGTGACAGCAATGTGATAGCATCTTGAATTCATGCCAAATGAGTTCAAAATACTATCATATTACTTTAAAGAGTATAGTGTAAATGTATCCGAACTATGCCTTAGAGTATAGTTTCGCGTAGAGGCATAAATCTTTGACATAGGAGTAGAATTTTACACCAAACTACTTCCATGGTTCATTTGCGTACTTAGTTTTTAGCGTAGTTAAGCGTACTTTCGGGCATATAATAATTAGGCGTAATTTGCCGTAGTTTGGCATTTTATTTATGGCATATAAAGGCATGAATCGGCATACTTTAGCATAGGAGTAGAATTCTACGCCAAAGTACTTCCGTGTTCTAAACCGCGTATTTAGGAATAGTTTTTGGCGTACTTTGGCATAGAAATTTTTTCGCCAGGGAAACAATTGCAATGAATGAAGGGACAGTTGAAATGATTGAAAAAAATATTATAATTGTTGGATACTGTGAAGATTGTAAGACTGGTAGAATTGTTAAATTGCGAACGAATTTTGTACAACACTGAAGATGATCGATATGTCGAAACGTTTGTATTCTATATTTATTTGATTTCAATGAATTTTTATTGTTAACGACTATCATCTTGTGCGACTTGTAGCCTTTTATGTGAATTTTTTTTTAAATTTTAGAATCCAGTATATGTTTAGATTTGTTAATAGTCTGTTTTAGATGTACAGATTTTATAATTTACGCATACAAGGATGAAATATCTGAAAGAGAATTCAATCTTAATTTAATAAAAAATACATATAAATATATCTTATTAAAGATTAAGTTATTAAATTAAATACTTATCCATAAAATATACATGATTAAAAAAATCAATATACTTGGTATTTTCGCAGTTGAACTATTCAAGAAAGGATAGAAAAAATCGTAAGGCAATGTAAGATCTAAATTAGGTCCACCAGCAAAATGATATTTGGACGGCTTTGAAATATCATGAAAATTAACATAAGAAATAATATTAACATCTAGAACATCTGTACAATTTTCAAATGCGCACTTTAGCCAGCTAATGTCTTCTTCTTTGCTGAATACGATCCCAACACCCAATATTTTATAATTTGTTTTAGGCTTTGACAACATAGAATAAATGACATTGAAATGCATAGATGTAACTAATCCTGAACATAAGATTCGTTTACCGACTGTGTACGCTGTTATGATATTTCGTGGTATCCTATCGAACATGATCTGCAGCCAATCAACATCATTTTTGCTGGAAAAATTACCTAGTTTTGAGATATAAGTGATGTAACGCTGATTTATGTTTAACAAATTGTTTGTCAATAAATGCATAGTCAGATTTTGTAGTTCCGCGCAAGATAACGCAGTAAAATTCTTGATAAACAATTTAATCGAACATGCCAATCTTATATCTTCACCAAATAAAACAACATGTCTATTAATTTGGTCACATTCTCCATTTCTTTTGGCCAAGGGCAATGTAAAAAATCCATCGGTTCTGTTGAAAAAAATATTATCGCTTGTATTAGCATGAGAAACGCCAATAATAATCGGTTTACCCATCTCATAACCAGGATTTTCACTACGAGTGAAAATTTTTGTGTTATTTGAATCTATCCATTTATATTCGATTTCGAAATATTGATAAAAGGCATGAGAAGCATTTCCTATATTAAAATATGCATCAATGCTGTTGATACCAGCAGAACTGTTGTGACTAATTACATATTTTAAACCCTTTACGATGTTGGTACAAGTAGAATTCATACAAAATCCTGATATGCTGGATCTATTGCACGCAGAAAATGACTTCAAACAGTAATGAATTCTTACTGGTAAACAAATATTGCTTCGACACATCTAAAAAATAATTTTTATAATGAAAATAAATAATAAATGTGAATAAGAGTGGAAGAATTATTCATAAGAGAAATAAGAAAAAGAAACGAGAAAGTATGAAAAAAAATTCAATGCAAAAAATTGAAGTATAGTATTTTTCTTTGAGTCTCTATATAAAAATTATTTTATAACCTCATTATATCATTGTAATAAAAATAATAATAATACTCTCATGATAATAATAAAGTAAAAACATTTTTATTTAACGTATTATTTTAATATTTTCTTTATTTTTAAAAGAATAAATTTTGCAAAATAAATATTAGATGTGGGAAAAAGTTCGTGGCATTTTTTTAGTAAAATTCAAATGTTTTTCTTAGAATATTGAAATCAATTTATTCAAACCGAATATGCTCCATTAGTTCGATAATATTTTGCTATTTTTGAAGCAGAGCCATAACACATGCTTGTCACACTAAACTTTTTCCATGATTTCATCAGACTTTTCAGTAATTGGTCGACCGAAGCGAGGTTTAACTTTGACATCGAAATTTCCAGTACAAAAGCGAGCAAACCATTTCCGTGCCGCTGATTTTGATAGAGTATCTTACCGTAAACAGCACAAATTTTTTCACAAATCTGTACAGCGTTCTTGCCTTTATCGTAGTGATACTGCAAAATGTAGCGAATTTTTTTAATTTGTTTCTTTTATTTTCAAAATGAAATAAATTTTGATCCACTTCACCGATTTCAATCTCTTCTTTTTCGGCTCAAAATAAAGATTGAAATGTCGCCTTTCAAACGCGCATTTAGTATTGTCAATGCAATTATTAGTTACTGAGTGCTGAGCATTTAATGCCATCTAGTGGGAAAAACGCCACAAACTTTTTCTCTCATCCAATACTGTATATTATTTTGTTATATTTGCTCGTTCTTTATTTGTAATTTATATAAAGACATTTTATATTTGTTTATAAAGGTAATATATGTATATATTGAAAAAAAATGGTTTATTTTTTTCACATAAATTCTGTAATTATAAAATATACCTGGTTTGTAGTAAGTGTATCGTTGAATGATGGCAAAGATTTAATAACTGTAAAATTACTAAATGTCACAGTGAACAAATATGGATTAATATTTGTTAATTTATTTTGTATGCAAGCACCTTTCCAATTTTGCAAGTACCTTAAAATTTTTTTAAATGTACATATTCCAGTAAATCCAGACTGTAGAAACTCTGAAATAATACATTATTAAAAATTTTTAACAAAAATTTTTAATACATATAATTTCGATTAACTAAATATGCAGAAGGAGACATTCTTTTAATGATCTTAATATTTTGTCAAAGTTATTACTTTAAATGACTGCTAAAAAATTTTGTTTTAATCATGGTGAAAGAAATACAGAGCTGCGTTCAGGAATTACGCCCAGATAACTCTAAGCTATAGGTTATGTTATGTATATTATAGCAAAAATGTACCCTAGAATTATCTAGGCGTAATTCCTGAACGCAAGCCTGAGTAAAGGTATCATTACATGCAGCGAAGCTTCGCTGGCGAAGACTCCCCACTCCGTCGAAAATGAAGCCAGCTTTGAAACATTCTTCGCTGAAACCCCGTATCCTTTTCATGAGCGAAGTTTCGCCAGCGAAGCTATTCTCACTACTGCTCCGCGAATAAAGAAGTGTTTTGAAAGTTTTGAACTTGAACAAAAAAGTTTTCATGCATGAATATACAGGATATTCCAGAATGACAGTCAAATATTTCATGTACTGATAGAGCGACTTAAACTGAGTCTAAAAGTCTTCTATTATTTTAAATATTAAGGTTATTTTTGATTTATTTTTTAATGGAGTGAGGCAGTGTGACAAGTAAAGTCGAAATGTTTCTTATATATTATTTTTTAACTAATTGAATGACATTCTAATAAACCATTTTACATTTTTAATTTAATTTTTTGTTCATAAATTGACCTTTCTATTTACTATTATTTTTCTCCCATTTTGCAATTTTTGTAATAGTTAATAAGATATTAGTTACTAAAAATCGTCGAATATTAGTTTTCAAAAATTTTTTACTTAAATATTGTCATCTTTTCAAAAACAGCAAGCAACAAAAATTGTTTATTTTCTTCTCATAGAGAGTTTTGAGAATTTTTTCAAAATTTTTTAGTACAGCATTTTCTTATGTTATGTCATTAAAATTAGTTGCCAGTAAGAAAATGCGAAAAGTTAATAAAAAATTTTGAAAAAATTCTTAGAGTTCTATGAGAAAAAGATAAACAATTTTTGTCTCTTGCTATAGTTGTGTAAAGTTAATAGTACTTGAGAAATTATAATTATATAACTATAAAAAATTATTGAAAACTAATATTCGGCGATTTTTAGTAATTAATATCTTAACTATTCCGAAAATTGCAAATAAAATAATACAAGATTTTTTTAATCAATTTAATCCGTTCTATCAGCACACAAAATATTTAGCGGTCATTCTGGGACACGTATATAAATATGTATAAATACACATAAATATGTAATAAATGCTCATAAATATATTATATAATTATATATGAAATGTTCATATATGTTCGTACATTCTTCTCTCTTTTATAAAATTACTGTTTAATATAAAAAGAATAATAATGACAAAATGTCAAAAATAATTAAAGGAACAATTTTCGTGTTGTTTGTTTTAGAAAAAGTCAAATTTAGAGAAATGTAAAAAAATCATTCTTACATAATTATACATAATTTTCCATGTAATTATATATCAGTATTTTTTGTCCAAACTTGATTTCTTCTAAAAGAAAAATTCTAATTAGAAAATTGTCCTTTTAATTATTCTTCGTGTTTTTTATTATTATTATTTATTTTAAAACTTTTCAGGAGCATATAACCAACCTTCGTTGTTAAGAAGTCATATATTCTAAAAAAAACTAGTACAATTTGTATACGTTTCGGTCAACATTTGACCATCTTCAGTACATTTCTAATAACATTATATTAAAACGAAATCAATCGATAGTGATCCTAATCTAAAAACGCAAAAACTTTCGCTTAATCCTATATTTTAAATAGAAATATCGCATTTTTTTGAAAAAAGGCGTATGAAGATAAATTTAATAATTATACAACGGTTCGCAACAATTAATATGGTGACGTACAAATCTTTATTATTTATTATTAAATGAATTTTCATATTGGTATGAATACTGTTGATTTAATGTCAAGAGGTACAATTTTCTTCTTGATCTGACAACGAATTTTTTATATATGAATACAAGACCAATTTAAGTCTTTTTTATGTTTTATTGGAACTCTCTACATGTATTCAATACCGTGATCGGACCCACAGGAGACACGCAAGTGGTCAGTTCTATGTGTGAATTAAATATGAAAATTAGAAAACAGTTTAATTTTTCAGATTTAAAAATTTGTGTTATAGATTTATTAATTGTATTATTTAACAATATGTCAATAATAAATTATTTGTTTTATAGAATAACTTATTACAACCGAAAGAAAAACGAACAAAGAGAAAGAGAAAGAAAGCAAAGAAATTAGACAATAATTTTCAAAAACTTACGCGTATCTCACTGTACACATCACACTGATATTGCACACTTACATGTTATTAATAATAACGTACTTTTCTTTGTATGTCGAGAGTCCGAAATTCGGTCTATTTATACTTTTCACACAGAGAGGGGACGAGAGGGGAGAAGGGGGGTTGACGAGAGAATTGAGTAAGAGGGGATAGAGTTATTGTTTAAGAAGAGGGAGGTATACGTCAGGAAAACGATCGGTATCACTTTGCTTATTTAAGGTATCTGTATGCATTTTTATGTAGATCATTTCTGAAATGCTTCTTTTAAAAAAAGATTGTTCAAAATCTAAAATTTCAGTGTTATTCCAATCCATAACATGTCCATCACTTATTCGATGATTTGAAATTACAGACAGCGATTCAACCGGTTTTTTGATATCGTTAATATGTTCTTTTAAGCGTGTTTTTAATTTTCGTTTTGTTTGGCCCACATATGTATGATTGCATTCTTTGCAATCTATTTTGTATACTACACCCGAATGATCATCTTTACTTATTTTGTCCTTGCCTAAAGTAATAAATTTATTAAGACTATTTAAGGGTTTGTACACTGGTTGGAGGTTGTATTTTTTCAAAATTCCTTTGAATTTATTTGAAGTCTTTTTTAAAAATGGTATAATAAAATAATTTGTCTTTTTTGTTAATTCACCATCGAAGTTCTGATCCATGTTATTTATTATTTCGAAATTATATTTGTTGGAAAGTATAATAATTCTGTCTTGGATAGTCTTAAATAACATTTGTAAGGGATAACCGTTGTTGAGGAGGGAGCTAATTAAGGATTCCATGTTTTTTTGTTGGAATTTGGGATGCGAAAGAAATAAAACCTTGTCCACCAAACTCGTCACCACACCTCTCTTTTGTGAAAGCGGGTGGTTTGAGAAGAAATTGAGATATCTACCAGAATTAGTTGGTTTTTTATACAAATCAAAAATGATGTAACCATCATCGTATATTAATTTTAAGTCTAAAAAATTGATACAATACTCATCACCATGATCGACCGTAATTTTAATGCGTTCATGATATGCATTAAAAGAATCTAATATATCATTAATTTTATTTTTAGAAGCTGCAAGTACAATGTCATCCACATATCTATAATAAACCGGTATGTGTGTAATTAAATTTTGAAAAATATTTTTTTCTAAGTCCTGAATCACTAAATAAGTAAAGATGATCATTCGGGTGTAGTATACAAAATAGATTGCAAAGAATGCAATCATACATATGTGGGCCAAACAAAACGAAAATTAAAAACACGCTTAAAAGAACATATTAACGATATCAAAAAACCGGTTGAATCGCTGTCTGTAATTTCAAATCATCGAATAAGTGATGGACATGTTATGGATTGGAATAACACTGAAATTTTAGATTTTGAACAATCTTTTTTTAAAAGAAGCATTTCAGAAATGATCTACATAAAAATGCATACAGATACCTTAAATAAGCAAAGTGATACCGATCGTTTCCCTGACGTATACCTCCCTCTTCTTAAACAATAACTCTATCCCCTCTTACTCAATTCTCTCGTCAACCCCCCTTCTCCCCTCTCGTCCCCTCTCTGGGTGAAAAGTATAAATAGACCGAATTTCGGACTCTCGACATACAAAGAAAAGTACGTTATTATTAATAACATGTAAGTGTGCAATATCAGTGTGATGTGTACAGTGAGATACGCGTAAGTTTTTGAAAATTATTGTCTAATTTCTTTGCTTTCTTTCTCTTTCTCTTTGTTCGTTTTTCTTTCGGTTGTAATAAGTTATTCTATAAAACAAATAATTTATTATTGACATATTGTTAAATAATACAATTAATAAATCTATAACACAAATTTTTAAATTCTGAAAAATTAAACTGTTTTCTAATTTTCATATTTAATTCACACATAGAACTGACCACTTGCGTGTCTCCTGTGGGTCCGATCACGGTATTGAATACATGTAGAGAGTTCCAATAAAACATAAAAAAGATTTAAATTGGTCTTGTATTCATATATAAAAAATTCGTTGTCAGATCAAGAAGAAAATTGTACCTCTTGACATTAAATCAACAGTATTCATACCAATATGAAAATTCATTTAATAATAAATAATAAAGATTTGTACGTCACCATATTAATTGTTGCGAACCGTTGTATAATTATTAAATTTATCTTCATACGCCTTTTTTCAAAAAAATGCGATATTTCTATTTAAAATATAGGATTAAGCGAAAGTTTTTGCGTTTTTAGATTAGGATCACTATCGATTGATTTCGTTTTAATATAATGTTATTAGAAATGTACTGAAGATGGTCAAATGTTGACCGAAACGTATACAAATTGTACTAGTTTTTTTAGAATATATGACTTCTTAACAACGAAGGTTGGTTATATGCTCCTGAAAAGTTTTAATTTTCTTAATGTTAGCCACTAAAATATTGAAATTATTTATTTTGTTACACTAAAATATAATTTTACAAAAAAAAAGCATGTGTGGACATTTATAAATATATTTCATATATAATTGATATATGTATATGTTTATGAATATTTATACATGTTTATGTATATGTTTATACAGATTATTTATATACATATATAATATTTGTGCATGAAAAATTTCTTACCGGGTCGTTTGACAGT